GAGAGAGAGAGAGAGAGAGAGAGAGAGAGAGAGAGAGAGAGAGAGAGAGGAAAACAGAGAGGGCGAGAAAGAGGGAACGAGAGGACGAACACATGTCCGTGTCACCGCCGTCTCTCCTGGCTGGATCCCGGAATTTATGCCGGCCAGTGAATCACGTCAAAATTTGATTTGTCGATGGCTTTTATAGCGGCAAGTTATTGCGCGCGTTATGTACAAATTCGGCGCGGTATACGCCGCCGGCGGCGCTACCCCGAACATTTCCACTTTGTCGGTCTCGTAATGTTTCCGAATACAGAAAAACACATCGGGGCCGCGGATATGGCGATGTGATTTGGAAATGCGCAAACCCATTAACGTGGCTATGTAAGCTACGCTAGCGTAAATAAACATTTTAATGCTGTAACAGTCGCGTTATAAAGCCGTACGCGTATAAAAGCCTAGTAATTCTGTACCAACGGGGACAATGCGTCAAAGCACTTAACATAATTCTTGAAAGCCCGCCTCCAGCGAGGCATTTAAAAGGGATTATAAATTTCTCTCTCTCTCCCTTTCTGCCCTCTTTCTCTCACTTGCGCCGGTGAATAATGTCTTAAATTCGTGTTTCGACACGGTGATATCCAGGCTAAGCGTAAGTTATGTCACTATTTTATGCATGATTACCGGGATGCTTGAAGATTTTGTTTGTTTCTAAAAAAAAATTATATGAGCGAATGTTTATACCACGTAAAAGAGAAACAGATTCATTACAGTCTATAAATGTAAATAAAATGTTTCCAGCAAGTTCTGCATCACTTTGATAAAGAAAGTCGTGAGAACACTCTAAATGAAAAGTAATTGTCATTTAAGAAAGAATATTTTTGCTTTCGAGAATATACGTGAAAGACTATTGAGCTTAGTTATTATTAGCACTCAAAAAAATTGCAAGTAGCTCTATTTTTTTTAGAAAATGTAAGAAATCGCGCGAAATATCAAATAAAAAAATATTTTTTGTATTAGGAATTAAAATATTCGGTACATATGATTGATTGGCGTTATTATGTTTTTACTTGTGTGCGTGTATTATTGAAAAATGTGAGTATTGATTAAGTACGTGTATTATTGAGAAAACAAAACGCGAAATTGAATATTACAGTTGCAATTACCAAACATTTAGTTCATCCCATTTTAATCAAATTACGGCGTGGCATATTAAAATTCCGTTTTGACTACAAAATCTTTTTTTGCAGTGTACATGTATCAATCATATTTGAACATTTATCGATGAGCATGAATTTCAAAAAATTACTCTTGTTCTCTCTCTTTCCCTTTTCCTCGCCATTTTTCTTTCTCTCTTTCTCCCCCTTTCCCTCTCGTGTCCATTTTGCGCGAAAAACAAACGTTTTTTTTCCATACGCGTAGCGCGGGGCGATATAAATCAAGCGCACTTTTCAGTTCGCGGTCCTCTTCTTCGCTGAAACAATACGCGGCGAATCTGCGAAAGAGAGCGATGAAAGAATAACGACGCTGTGAAGCGCGACGGAACCGCGAGCCGAACTAAACGTCCGGCCGGTCGATGTATGGCGTGTATCGGTGATCGGGCGCCGCTGATTTTCGCGGTGAGTCAGGAAGGCGCGCTTATTTGGAGGTATGCTTTTTTAATGTGCGCGCGTGCGCGCGCGCGCTCGCGTTTGTATGCAAAGTACGGTCGCGGATTTTCCGAAGCTGCGGTGCCGCGGCCGCGGCTTGGAGGCACCGACGGGAGATATGCATATATCAAGCGAGCGCAACGAATATATCATTCATAATTTGTTCAGAACGGTTGATTTGTAGCCCGCGACGTGCGGCGTCGACCTGTCCTCCCCCGGCGGACCCCCTCGCCATGTCCCCTCGCCCCGGTCGGGCACCCGCGCGTTGTCCTGCTTCCCTCTCTGTCGAGCCGCGTCACACGCCATTCTATCCCTCGCGCGCGCGTAGATTGAAATTAATACCCAATAATGCTTGTAAATCATTAGGGAAATGCACGAGCCGTGTTAAAACCGCGCCTCCATCCGCCGGTAACGGCGGTCACTCCATATTTGTTCAGCGGTGCTCTCACCGATGCGCGATGGAGAGGTCACGCAGTTGCGAAAGTTCGTGTTGTCTGCGCGCGCGCCCGCGTTAACTATCCCGGATTATCGGGCCCCGGATCACTTCGCGTCCCACATATTGCCTCCGCTGAGCCGTGGACATGGCTCCGGATTTTTTGCAAGTCGAATGACTGCGCTTCTGCACCTCGTTACCTTCGATTTTACGCATTCGCACGGCACGCACGTATAGGCACAGTTTTGGGAGTATCGCGTGCGCGCTTGATGTAGTTGATAAATTAACTTGCGAGAGATTAGCGATAATCGGCTTATAAGAAACGCAGGGACGCTAATAACGAAATAATGATTGCCGATTAAAATTAATACAGTTCCACGTATAATGGAAGATTATACGGATGAGACGAGTGGGGGGCGGACCGCAATGTAATATGGTCAGTTAATAATCTGTGCAAATTATCTTATTTACCTGAAATGCACGAGAGAAATATGCGAGCGAAACGCAAAATGTGCGTCGCCTTTAGAAATATTCAGACTCGATTTCGCCCCGCGAAGAGCATCCGCGCAATAACGAGAAGACATTCGTAATTTGTACCATCTTCAAGTTTCCTGAAGACCTCGCTGGTTTCCAAAAAATTAAACGCGAATGCCACGCAAAAGGGAAAAAGAAGAGGGAGTAAACATTCCATAAAGTATAAACGATTCAAATTCATTACAAGTGTAAATAAGATGTTTGCAGCAAATTCTGCATCACTCTCAGAAAGAAGTCATGGTTTTTAGTAAGACCACTCTACATAAATAATTGTCTTCTAAGAGAAACTATTTTTGTTTTTAAGAGTAAGGTAATGTTAAGCTTTCAGTTTTTTATGAAAAAATCGTAGTAATATTTACTTTCCTGTATTGAGCCTTAGTTTGCCTTTAGGTTAGGTTAGGATATCTCGAAATCCTGACGTAATAGAGCAATTCTGTAAACGAATTCGGATTCAGCGCAAAAAATTACGTAAGAAAACATTATCAGATCCCAATCAACTTTCAACACCTCCAATTGTAGGCTTATGTAATTTATAATAAATTATTAATCATAAGTTAAATATTATGATAAATCACTAGCTACTAATCAAATTTTCATCAGAAGGCGCCAAAGTTAGAAAGAAGTTATTACTTAATATAGACTATAAGAAAGCTATCGCTTTGATGGGCAGATTAAGGTCCAATACAGAAAAATGAACATTACCACGTTTTTCTCATAAAAGACTGAAGGGAATAAAATAGGTGCAAATCAAAATCAGTCATGCTAATAATGTTCACTGTTATTACACTCGATAAAATGTGGAAATGTTAAAATGTTACATTTGCGATAACGTGCCTATGATTGTTCAATTGATCCTGCGCCTAAAGATCAGTCAGCAGGTCTTGCCTTGTCAGAAAGCTTGTCCCTGCTTTACTAATTTACACTTACACTGTGCTTAACTTAGAGAGTTGACGCCATTATATCAGTCACACAATCTCCAATTAATTTACTGTCCAATCACTCGCACATGCAGTTAAAATGATCAACGACAGATGCAACGAACGACAGCTTCGGGATGCGACGGGAGACAAGCGCCCACGTGACAAAGCCGCCTATCTCGATGCTGTCCAGAAACGTCGCCGAGAAGTCATAATAGGGGAAGCCTCGAATCCTGTCTCTCAGAAGTCCCGAGCATAGGTATCAAAGTGCACGGGCGGGGCGAGCTTTATTCGGGATTTCCTGAAGTCTGCGCGGGGTGCGCGAGGGTGGCGCGCGGGTTCACCCTTAGATGTGGAAGTGTGCGACGCGAGCGAGCGAACGCGGGGCGTGTGTACGTGTGGGCGATAGTATCGGTACTCCAGCAGCGCCAGGGAGTACCTAATCTCGCGCTTCCTAATGGTAAACCGGGGGTGCTTGTAGGGTTGCTTAGGCGCCCGGTGCGCGCGCTCTCTCTCTCTTTCTTCCTTCCCTCTCTCTCTCTCTCTCTCTCTCTCTCTCTCTCTCTCTTTCTCTCCCTCGCTCGAACCGAGTATATTACACTTACTACTGCAGAAGTGATACCGAGCCAATGGGCAAACACAAGTAAATCAAGATTGCCAGTGATTTGTGGCGGCCGGAGTGCCCCGGTGAGTTCGGGCCGTGAGTTTCGTCGCTCCCTGATACCGGAAACGGCCGTTTCGACCACCAGATAAAGGTGTTTCCACGGGTGCTGCTGCACGGTGCCGCCGTCGTCGTCGTCGCCGCTACCTCCGCCGCCGCCGCCGTCTCCAACGACGACGACGACGACGACGACGACAACCGCGGGACGATAATCGCGATATTTGCCGTGCCGTGTCGCACCTTCCCCGAACGTGCTTCCCGGTGCACGCGTAATTATGCGTAATTACAACGGCAGTTGCATAAATACACGTGGAGGCGAGAGGGACTTGGGAATTAATTTTCGCGAGACCCCGTCAAATCACGTTGTTGAACTTTAGAGCGGGACTTGACCGAGACAGCCGAGAAGCACCGACACACTCGCAGGGCAACGCGCGATTCAGCCGATTACACTCTTCTAAATAAAAAGGTTCATCTGCGAGCGATTTAACAGGCGCCAGCCGATGCGCCTTTTCTTTCATCCGGATGCAAGTCTAAAAGTTCGACGAGGAGACGCGCGTACGTGCAACAGGTGGCCCATAAAGCGTGCACGTCCGTTTATCAAGGACGAACGAGTGCATTCGTATTGACTGATGGGTGTTAAGGTCCATTGTAACGGTGATGTGATCTGTACGTATCAGTTCTAAACTTGAGCGACAGGAGTGGCGATTACTCGCCTCGCGTTCTCTGCTCCTCGCGCACGATGAAATCTCGTGTGAAATCCGTTCGCTCGTAATAACACGCTCCTTCTCGCGAGCATTTGTCGGCTGCGTACTTGCGAAGGTGCACAAACAACAGACTTCTTCGTATTTAGAGGGTTTAATGTCTAAAAAATAAGAGAAAAAACTGAAATTAATTAGATATTAAGATAAACGTCCCAGTGATCGAACATACATGTCCCAATGATTGACATATTGGTTTTGTATTTTTCTTTGTTGAAATGCTTTTCAATATACAAAACAATATAATAAATGAAAAGAAATATTTAATTACTTTGTGATTTTGTTTCATTTATTGATAAGCATCTTAACAAACACAAGTATATTATTAGTAATTCAATTATCGGTACACGTTCAATCACTACAACGTTTACCTTACTTCTAAAAGTGTGACCACAATTTGACACTGATTCAGAGTCCAGATCATTCCACTTTGAAGTGTAAGCCCAGCAAACATAATGACATCAAATGACGCCTCTAACTTAAAAAATACGTCATTTGTGATGTCATCCTGTTACTCTTGGTAATATTTAGACTGTATTATAGAAATATCTTATCACATTCAGTAACGGAAAAATGATTGAAGAATAATTACAAAAATCTCAATTTTTGTATACATGAATTATAAGTATTCAGAATGAGATGTAAACAAAGTTTCATTATGGATCAGCGAAAGATTAGAGAAATAAAAATGATATTGAATAAATTATAAAAATGCGATGTCAAAGTGAAAATATGTTGTCACTCAACTTATCGTACCACATACGTTTTCATATGGAAAATAGAAATATTAGCACGCTTTTCAGAAGGCTTCCTACAGACAAATGCGGGCAGTGCATCCTTGATAATAACGTCAAAGTTTTGTGTTAAAATGTTATCACGACTCGGGAAGACGTGAAGACAAAGTAACCGGTCTCCCGCGAGGGAATATAGTTGAACATAAGTATCTCGTGTAAAGTTCAATCATACCACGCGCGCGAGTGGTTAACGATATGCTATAATAAAGCAGAAGAAAACACAAGGAGGTCTTGCCGCCGAAGGTATTTCACGGCTGTAGAGCCGCGACGATCTCAGATCGGACGGTTGCGCGCGCGGTGGGCCATCGAGAGGACGGGAAACTTTTATTAGCGAAGTGTCTCATTAGGTGGGTTTCATACCGTCGTTTGGGGGAAAGGTGGGCGCGCCTTAAGGACGACGAGATGGAGGAGGGGCACGGGGAGAACCAGGAGGATACACCTCGGCGAATTCGCAGACAAGGTGGGCCCACTGAGGCTCTGCATCACGGCCCCTCGCGGCTTGCCCCACGACGATAGTAAAAACTTTTACAGTCCTTATAATTATGGGTAATTCGCGGTAATTAACGAGGCTGGACGGAGTCACGCCGGCAATTTTCTGAGTAATATTTCTGCGACGATAATATCGCGCTTTCCTACGCCGCGAGAACCACCCCCGCGGTTGCCCCCGCCCGCTGCGTCGCTCCCCGTCGCGAGTATCAGGATTAAGAGTCCTGCCGCTAGACGTCCTTCGGGGATTTCCCGATCGAAGAGGGGCCCCCCGAAAGAGGACATCGCTCCGAAGTTCCTCGCTGTGCCGATGAAAACTGCGGGCGACGCCCCGCGCGAACGTTCCTCGGCTTGGAATTACCGACTTCGAAACTGCGGTTATTTTTTATCCTTATTTACAAATGTGACATTTTATCTATTATGTATATTTATACATAATAATGTATATTTATATATAATAATGTATATTTATACAAAATCTTATTGAATGCACTCATTCAATAAAATTATGTCATTCGTCTGATTACTTTCCGTACATCTAACTTAACTCAACCGTCGCGTTTTTAATTTGATCCATCCCACGAAGGTCTTGCGAATTGTCTTGCGCAATTTCGGGATTGGAAATCGTTATTTCCAGGCAGTATAATTCACGTGACTCACGCGGATGCAGATGTTGGAAGATGGAATCGTGATTAAAGGCAAATTGCGGCTAACAGCCAGCGCTCAAGCGTTCCTACCATCCATTCTTCGTAATCAAATCTGACTACCGCCTGATAATGCGGATTAATGCGAGAGAATTATCCGACGACGCGCCGATTTCGAGGCTGCTTACGCGCTTCTTAACGATTCCTCGAGCCGTCCTCGTACCGACGTCGTGTAGAAAGGAGCAAAGGAGCGCTTCGTCGTGCTCTCTTTGCGTCGACGTCGCACAGTAAAGATCCCCCGAAACATATCCCCGCCTCGTATACGTCTACCGGTAAACCAAAGCATAAGCGTAACGCGTTGGGATACATGCAACTGCAATGAACGTGATAGAGAGAGAGAGAGAGAGAGAGAGAGAGAGAGAGAGGCAGGCAGGAAGGAAAGGAGAAAAGGAGCGAGAGCGAGTACCAAGCTAATTTCTAATAAATATAAAGGGAGTCCTCCTTCTCTCTCTCTTTCTCCCTCTCTCCTTTGCTGTACTCGCTGCATCTCCGTTGCATGAGGACTAGATATCATTCCGAAAGTGCATGCTTCGTACTGAGATTACCCAAGATATTCAAATAAATTCTCTCTCCTTCCAGTCGTTCTCTCTGCTCTCTCTCCCTCTCTCTCTCTTTCTCTCGCTTCCTCTCCTTCTCTCTCACTCACACGCTCACTTGCCATCCCATCCCCTTTTGCTCTCTTCCTTCCTCCGCGGAGCGAGCGACTCGAATGCGCGAGGTACACTCGGCAGATTTGCGAGGGACTTCGGCGAACTCCGTGGACGCACGAGCGGCAATCTGCAAGGATCTCTTCTTCGAATTTATTTTATCGTTTCTGCTGGGAATGACGTTCTGTAACGAGACATAAATTCGCAAAGTCGGGGTAAACAGGGCCGTACGTAACGTGGCCGGTTCTTCCGCGAGCACGACGTCCGCTCGAGTTTTACAGTCTCGCCGACAAATCGGTAAGGCGCATACGTACGTATGGGCTCCGATTTATACCCTTTCTTTGCATACGCGACCGTTAGCACGTCGCGCACTTAGAAAGGTGTCACACACCGCACACCCGGTGTCTATCTAATGCCGACGCATCTTTTCAATTAACCTCGTCGCGTCTCGCGTTTCCGCTCTTCTCGCTCTCCTATTTTTCCCCCACACATCTCCACACGGATACGTGAAAGAAACGCATATGAAACGCATATGAAACGTTCACGCGCTAAATCGGCGATTCGCGAATCCGGCCGGTTGCTGCGGCATAATTAGCCCGATAAGGAGAGAGATCCACGGTTGTGGTAGGACGCGAGTGAGATATTGGACTTTCATTTAGGCGATTCCGGCGGGGGCGACAGAGCGGTGCAGAGGATTTTCCTTGCCTTTTCATGAGATGTGTGTCTCGGTCTGGTAATTCGATCATTCGTATTCCCTGGCCAACCTCGGGTCTCCTCGACATCGGGCGATTGCGATTTCGTAACAGTTGCGACAACGATTCACCACGATGTCGTATGGCCGGGAGAGATCTCAGTGGAACCTATCCTCGCCGAGAAATAGCGGCAGGGATTTGATAAGCAACTTCTGAGTAGCACGGGGATATCGTAGTGCGCGTTACGAAATCGCGAAGCATTGATTAGCCGAACGGAACGCACGACGCGAGTAACATGGACGATTAAATCTGAATCGTGTCCAATTTTCCCTCTTCTTCCCTCCCCACCCCGCTCGCCGGTACATTGAAAGGTGAAATAATTTATAGGAGGAGATCGTATGCTCTCGATCTGTATCGGCTTTAGACTTAATGGCGTTTCGAAATTCCGATACGGTGAAGCGCGGCCCTTTTCAAAGCTCTGGAAGGAATAGATTTCGTGAGAAAGGCAGCCCCTTTTCTTTCGTAGGGTGCTGAAGGGCGCTCGAGTGTAGCTGATAATATGGCAGTTTGTATTCTTTGATCGAACCGCGCGCCGAGTGACAGCTTTTCGCTCGCTCTCCGCGTATTACCCCGATATATTTAATCGCCGCGAAAAGAGAATCGTATTCCTCTGTGCGATATTTAATCCGCGAGCCCGATGACATTTTTCATGAAAAATAGTCCCGGCGAAAGGTGCGATTTATTTAACATGGCGCGCGAAATTCGCAAAAATTCGATGTATTTTTTAGTCAACTTAAATAACGTAATGTTACACACGCGCGTTCGGCGATATTAGTTTTTCAACGTAATATTATATTACCGCGCGCTATCGAATAACGTTCTCTGTGTGCTCGCGCCACATTTAAGGGAGATTTGAAGTTCGTCGGACAATTCGAGCTGGACAATCGAGCTTGTAAAATCGAGCGGGGTCAACAGTCGTTTGTGTCGGCGTTAATCCGACCCCCGAATCAATCCCGACCGGTCGGCGGTTCGCGCGTTTCGTTTTAAAACGCCGGACGGGTCGCGGCGAGGGCACGGCGTCCGTTTGCTCCTTCGCGACCGGAGAACGCGAGATCACGGCGCGACCGAGCTTTCCTCCGAGATCGCGCGGATTCGATAATTCGATCGTTCGTATTCCTGGAGACTGGCGTGCGCGCCCTCGCGCCACAACAGTTTCTATCGGACAGTTGACGATGTGTCGCGGCGGCCCGCCACCCACCCCCGCCACCCACCGCAAAGCGGACGAATACACTGACGGTCGGTCGCTTGCACGGCGAGCTGAACTCAGCCCCCGTGGGGGTTGGTCGGTGCCCCCTTTCTCTGTCCGTCTCTCTCGCTCCCTTCCTCTTTCCACTCATTCGTTCCTTCTCTTCATCTCTGTATCTCTTTCTCTCTCTCTCGCTCTCTCTCGCTCGCTTGCTCTCATACACACACATACACATACATACATTCTCTCTCTCTTTCACGAGCGCGCGGTTCGCCTAGATACCAGGGGTGGTCGGAGGTCTGAAGGGACGGGGGTGGCGCTGCCGCTGCTGCTGCTCGGTATAAGCCAGTGCGCGTCAATAACCGTCCATCAGATGTAATAGCTCCCCGAGACACATCGGTTGCATTTAAATGGCTGCTTAGCCGACTCTGTCTCGACGCCGACGTGGATCTATGGAATTCCATCAAGCTCCACGGGATCCCTTATCGTCCTAACCGGGTCGTCGCGTCTCGGTCCAAGCACCCCCCAGACCCAA